TAAAACACTATAAAAATCTTTGAATGATCAATTAATACACCAAATATTAAGGAAATAATTTAATAAAGAATGTGTAGAACAGTTATACTATTTGTTTTTTTNAAAAGTAGAATATTTATATTAGTTTTATAACATATAATTTCATTAAAGAATAATTCTATAAATACATTTTTTTTATAAATATAATATTCAAATAAAAATATATTTAAAAAATCACGTTAAAAAAAAAAAAAAAAAAGATACACTTTTGTATTATAACTTTAATATAATACATACATTTGTTAATTTTCTTTAATTTTTACATATATATAAAATAAAAAAATTTTATTAAAATTTTTATTTATGCAAATATATATATAATTTATGAATTATGTATAATAGCTCAATTATGCTGGAATATCTTTTTTTTTTCTTGCACATATTTCAATTATAGGTATTCTAAATTTATATATTTAAAAAAAAAAGGGTTAATACATATAAGTAATTTTTTAAAACAAACAGAAAAAAATTTATCATATAAAATAAAAAAATTTATGATATAAAATAAAAAAAATTTATAAGATAAAAAAAATATATTAATAAAATAAAAGAAAAATAAACTGTATAATAATAGCAATGAAACTTTAAATTTTAAACACGTGAACACAATAAGAAATTATTACATATAAAAAAAATTAATTTAATAATGCAAATACTTTTATAATTCATATATGAGAATTTTTTATATTTTTAATAAAACGAATTTTGATTTATAAAAATTATTTTTTTAAAAATTTAATCAAAAAAAAAAAAATAATATATGTAAAAAAAAATTTATATTTGTATAAAAAGGTGTATAAAAAAGTGTATAAAAAAAAAAAAATTATTTTATAAAAATTAATTTATATATAAATTTGTGTTTAATAAAAAATTTTTCGAAAAAGGCAAATTTATAAAAGTGATGAAATTATATAAATTTCACATTCCTCATAATTTACATTTTTCAAAATTTTACATTTTGAAAAGTATTAAGTTTACATTAAAAAAAAATCTTATACTTTAAAAAAAAAAAATAAAATAAAAAGAATTAAAATCATTTAAAAAAAAAATTTAAAGAATTAATCTTATTTTATTTTAAATTTTAAGACTTTTTAATAAATTGTTTCTTACCACATATATTTTAATAAAAGAGTATTTTTAAAAAAAAAAAATTAAAAAAAAAAGGAAAACATATAAAAATTAAATGTAAATATATATTGTACTGAAAAAAAAACAATATTGTGCCTATAATAAATAAATAATGAATATATATTGATTGAACGCATGTGTAAATTCTATTTTTAAGCTTTAAAAACTTGATTTCTTTTTATCACATTTTATTTCAAATATTTAATCCGGATTTTAAATTAACTTTTTTAAAAATTTTTATTTTTTAGATTAAGTTCTACTGTAATTATACATTATAAAAGTAATATCAAATGAATCTATTTTTTTTTTTTTTTTTAAAAGTACAAAAGTTGAATTTCAATTATAAAATGAGCATTTTGTTGAAAAAATGGTAAATAAAAAAAAAAAAAATATAATTCTTTTTTATTAATTTTATAATTTACAAGGAAATCCTTAACATCACATTAGGTGTGTTTCATTGTGTTTAACTAAAGCTACTGTGTTGCAACATCATTTTGATTTTTTTTTTTTTAATTAAAAGAAAGCAATGTTTTTATAGTCAAAATGTAAGTATAGATTTATATACATTTTAAAGAGAATTTCTTATTATATCCGATATAAATTCAAATGAAATATTTGTACAATATGAAAAAATTATATGATGAAATTATCTGCCTTATTGCTTAAAGCTAGTTTTTTATTAATTATAAAATCCATAATTCATTATAAAAAATTTTTTTAAACAATTGAAACATAATAAAGTTTGAAATGTTTTATTACGAGAAAATTTTTTAGGAAATTATAATAATTCCTTTAATAGTTTACTTAAAATACTTTTTTATGTAAAAATAATTTTTTTTTTATTTTATTTTTTAATATTCATTTACACCTTTTTTTTGAAAATTTAAGAAATGATGTATTTTAATAATTTTTTTAATATAGAAAATTTGATTTTTTATGAGAATATATAATTTAACATATTTTATTTTAAGTATATATAAATTATATATATATATGTGTGAATACACGGAAGAAACAATATATATATATATATATATATATATATATTTCATATAATAATATTAAAATGATTTATGCATAATTTGTAATACGCTTTTTAGCAAAAAAAAAAAAAAAAAAAAAAAAAAAAAAATATATTTGTATATTACTGCATTAATATAATTTTTTGTGGTAAAATTATTTAAAAATGATATATATATTTACTAACACTTTTAAGATAAGAAAACTTACACATTTTGTTTTATTTAAAAAAAAACCGCAAAATTTAATTCATTTTTATAGTAATTTCTTCTGTGTAATCAAACAGAAAAAGAAATTTAAGTCTTTATTACATCCTTATAATTTCGTTATAATTATTTATTATTATAAAGGAAAAGCAATGTATATAGGTACCAAAAATAAATAAACACACGAATTGATTATGAATATAAATTTATAAAATTATTATATGGATGAAAGTTGAGGAAAATAATTGAATAATTAATTTTTTATGAAATGATTTATATAGAGAAAATTTATTTTTCAGAATATTTTTGAATTTCATCAAGAATATTCACTTTAGTTATTTGTTATTAGTGTTGAGAATTATAAAATAAGAGAAATGGATAAAATATATTAAAAATTATAAAAAAATCAAGTTTTTCTTATTATAAAAAATTGACAATAGAAAAATTATATAGTGAAATATTAAATTATTTAATAGAATTTTACAAAAAAATTAAAATAAAAAATCATACGAATATGTAATGACTCATTTTAAATGCATAAAATTTAAAATGCTAATAATTTCATCATTAATTTTACTAATATTTATAAGAATTTACTTCTCCTTTATGTATTTATACAAACTTTCCTTTTTGTATTATTTATTAGTGTGCAAAATTTAAGTATTTAAGAAACCTTAATTATTATATATATAAAATTAAATATATAGAGAAAAATATAATGAAATGAAAAATTTATATATTTTTTAAAAAGGTAAAAAAATAGAAAATTTTAAAAAATAACGAGTTGAATAAGTTTAAATATTTATTTATAATATGATGTTTTTCATTAAAAATAAGTGAAAAATTATTTTCATATTTTAGAATATTTTATTAGATATGCTATTTCTCATTAAATATTGAAATTGAAACATCAATTATTTTAACATTATAACTTACATTCTTTCATTTTTACAAAATTCTATGTCTATAAAGAGTTTGATTATATAGATCAAAAATCACATATATAATTAATTATTTATTTTTATATTTAATAATGCATTTTTTATTGAAAAAAAGATAATATTGAGCTAAACATTACCTCACAAAAATAAAATACAAAGTTATAAGTACAGTATTAATTTGATGTCGATTGTAAAGATGATATATAAAAATAACTTTTTACATTACAAGAAATCATTAAAATATAATAAGCTCAAAATTGATTTTTATATATTTAAGTTTATTTATAGTGGCCAAAAAATTTAGTATATAGGATTTAAATAAATTTAATACTTTATTTTTTTTTTATGTTTACTTTTTAATATTGCTTTGTTTACAATTTTTTTTTTGTTATTATTATCATTATAAAGTAAAAATATTTATTTAAATTTTCTATGTGTTATATATTACATTAAAATGTAAAATATGTAAAATTAATTTAGCAATTTTAAAAATTTCAAAGTTCGTAGGTTAAAAGTTTTAATAATTAAAAAATAATTTTTGATGATAATAATGTTAAAATAACAATTTTATATGTGTAAAAATGAAAAGTAATTACAAAAGAAAATTAA